CCCTGCACCCCATCACCCCCCCCAGCGCCCACCCTGCGCCCCATCACTGCTCCCCTAGGCCCTGCGCTCCATCACTGCTCCCGTAGGGCCAGAGCTCGCCCTGCACCCCACCCCGAGCCCCATCACTGCACCCTGAGCCCTGCGCCCCATCACTGCACTCTAAGCCCCCAGGCCCTGCGCCCCATCACTGCACCGCAGCCCTCAAGCCAGCACAAATGCACAGTGCCCTGCACCCACCACCCCACCCGGCACCCGCCCTTTCCCGAAATAGCAGGCACGCTATTCCGGTGTCCTTATAACCCTTGTTCCACGAGGTTTAAGGGATTTGTGGGAATAGTGCCTTATTTTGAAATTTGGCATTGTCTACACTGCACCACATTTCAAAATAAACTCTTTTAATCTAGACTCGGAATAAGATGTGCAAATTGCGTAGCTTATGCTGACAGAAGGATGCTGCATAGACACACCCTAAGATGCCACAGGACTTCTTATCTTTTCTGCTCCTGTTTAATCAGTTAACCAGTTAAACTTAACTTTTAACCAATTGACTAATCAAATGGGATTTTACATCCCAAATTCAGGCAGCTTTGAAAGTCACCTTGAATAGCTAGGTCCCCCAGTAAATACTGAGCACTAGATTCTTCATTGGCATGTGAGGAACGGGAATGGGGGCATGGTGATTCATTTAGATAATGAATGGACGTGACATCAGCAGCACAGAAAATTAGGTTAAAAAAAACCCCAACCGATTTTGAGGCCAGAGATGTATTCCTCAATTCATTATTTTTAGCAGGTGATTATCTCACCGCTGCTGTGTCTGAGTCACTGAGCTGTGAGCCGTGTGACTGACACCAGACCAGAGAGCTGCCCTTGTCCCCCTGTAGCTCAGGCATTGGGGTTCTGATGCGGCTGGGGTTGCTCATTTGCTGGATGGTCCCCAGAACATTCCTCCACGGCAGCCGGGACTGGCTCCAGACACAACCTGAAAACAAGGAACTTTCTTTCTACAGTGTGCAGAGCTGGGGAAAGAGGTATGCTTGGTCACTAGCTTCTCCTTTTCCGGAGACACAAGGTGGGTAAGATATTACCTTCTATGGACTAACATCTGTTGATGAGAGACAAGCTCTGTGTAGTTCAAAAGCTTGGCTGTCTCATCTACAGGAGTTAGTTCAATAAAGGATATTACTTCACCCACCCTGTCTCTACTGTCTTGGGTTACTGTCCACAGCTACAACACTTGAAGCAGAAATATCTCAATTCAGGTTATTATAGCAACGTTCAATTGGAAAGGATCCCCCGTATGCTCTAGGACCAGAGAAAAGAATAAATCATTCACCTCTCCATAGCTAGTGTAGAACACAGGCAGCTGCGTAGCAGCAACACTGCAGGACAGGAAGTCAAGATGGCTCTTGTATTGATCTAAAACTGCAAAGAGAACATGAGTTACATTCATAGATTCCAAGGCCAGAAGGAACCACTGTGATTATCTAGCCTGACCTCCCATATCACAGGTCAGAGAACTGCTCCCCAGTAATTCCTAGAGCAGAGCTTTTAGAAAAACAGCCCATCTGGATTTTAAAGCTGTCAGTGACAGAGAATCCACCATGGCTGTTTGTAAACTGTTCCAGTGATTAATTGCCACTGATAAAAAGTTATGCCTATCTACAGTCTGAATTGGTCTAGTTTTCACTTCCGCTCATTGATTAAATATTGGACCTCTCTGCTAGATTAAAGAGCCCATTATTCAGAACTGGATCCCCATGTAGCTAGATAATTATAGACTGTCATCCACTCATCCTTTGTCTCTTTGTAGACTGAGCTCTTTGAGTCTCTCTCTGTAAGGCATATTCTATAAGCCTTTCATCATTCCCATAGCTCTTCTCTGAAATAGGGATGTGACAGGTAACAGGTTAACCAGTTATCCGGCATGCATTGTCCTTAACGGGTGATGCTTACTGAGTAACAGTTAACTGATACCTGGGAGCAGCCTGTTGCAGGAGGAGGACTGTTCTAGCCTCACCAGGCTCCTGCGTGGGGCAGCCCCATGTGGGTTAACCGATTAAATGGGATTTGACATCCCTACTCCGAACCCTCTGCAGTTTATCAACATCCTTCTTGAATCATGGATGGCAGAACTGGCCATAGGATTCTAGCTGCTGGAACACCAGTCCCAAATGGAGGAAAAATAACCTCTCTACGCAACTCAAGATTATCCTGTTCAGGCACCCTGGGATCGCATGAGCCCCTTTGATCACTGCATCACCCTGGGAGCTGATGCTCAGCTGATTATCCCCCTTCCCCCCCAAAAAAAATTGTTTTCAAGAGTCCCCGCACCTGTAAATACAGCGGACAATCTTTGTTCCTACAGGCAGACGTTTAAAGCTAGCAGTACTAACATGCAAAGTGTTTGCTTATGTCCATTCACCCCAGCAATCTGGATCACTCTGTATGAGCCACCCGTTCAACTTTGATGTCAGCTTCAAACTTTATCAGGGATGATTTTCATTCTGTTCGGATTGTGTTCAAATAGCACAGGGCCGAGAACAGATTGCTGCAGGACTCCATTAGGAACTTAGACTTGGGGATTCCCTATGTCCAGTTTCATATGGAAACCACTCAGTTCACTGGTTGTTAATTGGTGTCCTGCATTGTTTCTATCTCTGATGGCCTGGGCAGTTCAGGGTGCAGTCCATGCCAGTGACGTGCCTGTCCTGTTCCTCCCTGCTTTGCTGCTGTAGCTCCCAACCTGGGCTACTCACAACCAGCTTACCAGCACATAGACCACACTCTGTGTGGAACTATAGGCCCAGGCCAGCAGCAGATCCAGCTACACACTGAGCTCCATCAGCCTTATTTACAACTAGCAAGATGACCCCAACACAGCCCTAGTCTTTAATTTCCCCCAAACGATATGCCCTGAAATGTCCAGCCCTCTCCAGCTCAGAGAAATAATGAAGTTCATTGCTCCAGAAAAGAGATAAAACTGCACCAACAGCTTCCTAATTGAACTGGGGGTAAATACACCCTTCCCTTAAACACAGGGCTGAGTTGGGTTGTGGTAAGAGGAAAGTGCATTTATTTACAAAATAGACAGAGGAGTAAGTCAGTTCACATATAAGACATTAAAATAGAGTCACGAGTAAAACAAAACCTGCTTCTAAAAATCCCAAACTTAATCTAGCCAGGTACAATCTTTGCCTAAACAGGTTTCTCGCCTATATTCAATTTCCAGACTCCACCCCTGTCCTTTAGTTGAAGGACACCTCTCTCAGCTCACACAAGCTCCATTTTCATAGGTCTGTCTTGTGATGGACACCAAAGGTGACTTGTGCCTTTCCTTATAGTTTTCAAAGTTCAGCAATGTTTCCAGAGGCAGGATGACTTCCTGCTGTTCTTTCCTCTCTGTGGGCTTCCCGCCCCCCTGAAGATAAATAGGGTTTCCACTGGTTGTTTCCACCATTCTTGATTTACACAGGAGACAGGTAGTTAGCTGTCTGTGCCATTCTCTGCTGTCTGGGCAAACTGTATAGCCTAATATAAATGTGTAGCCATAATTTCTGACAGTGTTCATACGTACGTTTCACATGATTAATCACCACTGTGTCCTTAGCTTTCAGAAAAGACCTCACTCGATACACTTTCATAATACAGTAATACTGTGTACTGCCAGTTGATTATCAACTGAGTTGGTGCAGGCCAGGGTGGCAGAGGCTATGCTGCCAGCCAGCAGCTGCTCCCCAGGGCTGGGGTACTTGCTGCCACCCTGTGGTCATCCATGGGTATAACTGTCCCTGCTCTCCCACCCCTCCCTTTCCGTTGATTGAAAAACAATCACATTCCAGGCAGATCCCATTGTCCTGGCACAACCAAACCATGGCCTTGCTTTAAATTAGGAGAAGAGGAAGCTGCACCCCAAATCTGGTGGCCCGCGCTCTTACCGTTTAGGAGGAGGTATTGAACAAATGTACAGACGGATACAGACAGACGCACAAACAATCTAAAATACATAGCAGACTTACCAGATCCTTGAAAAGACAATGAGAATGTAACTGTCTGGTGGAAAAAGCACAATCCTTTTGCTTAGGGGGTAATTCCTCCTTGGCAAATCAATTTTAAGAAGTATAATTTCAAAGTGTCCGTAGTCAGATTATGCACCTACATGACAATATTAATATCCAGGAAGATAGGAGTTATCCAGTGACGATCTATATCTAACGAAGTGTCCTGTAATAACGACGAGGTAGGGCTGGGCAGGCCAACAAACTCATTGTCAGACACCCAAGCGGCACGTTCCTTCTGCCCTAGGACTGTTCTTAACATCAATAACATTCAAAATATCACGCCGTACCAGAAAGAAGTTGCAGATTTGATCCTACTCAGAGCAATGTGCACAAGCCAGCCCATCCAGCACAGAGGGGGCATTCAGCTGTTGCAGAAAAGCTACCCATGACATGACTGCCAGGTGTCCTTTCAAACTTCATCTCTTCCGTGGTTAGAGGAACAGCCAGCCAAGGGCTTTGCTGCGCGTTTCTGTCCTAGCCAAGACCCCGTTCCTACAAGCACACAGGGGACACTCTGAATCCCCTGTTGAAAGGCAAAAAGACAGACTCAAAGCAACATCAGTGATACAAATTTTATTTTAACATTAATTTATTGTGAAACAAGCAGTGTCAGTCTTACACAGGCGCCAAACCCCTCCCTGCACACCCAATATTAACCTCGAATGCACAGCCGTTACTCAGCAGGGGCAGGAATTTTTGTTAGCATTTTGTGTGAACTCCAGTTTCTGCACCTTTCCCTGCTGCCTCTCCATATCTCGATAGAGCAGGGACTTCTGGGCCTTCAACCGGCAGGCCAGGCACATGAAAATCGACTCCACATTCTGACTCTCTTTGGGGTCCTTGGCTGACGTTTCAAACAAAAGCATGTTATGAGCATCGGCGAATTTCAGGGCCAGGCTGGAGGGCACCTGAATTTGTTCTCGTAAGTCACATTTGTTCCCAACGAGCACCTTGGGGACGAAAGGAGGCACCGCGTGCCCGTTGCACTCCTCAATCCACATCTTGAGATTGGCGAAGGAGGCCATCTTCGTGACATCGTAGACAAAGATGACAGCGTGCACATTGCGGTAATAGTGTTCGACCATGCTCTTCCGGAACCGCTCCTGGCCGGCTGTGTCCCAGACCTGCACCTAGAAAACAAAGCACACTGTGCCTGAGGGAACCGACATGGAGGGGCGGGACAGCACGCAGTGTTCCCCCACCCCACCATCAAGCAGGTCTTGGGTCTCAGGAACAGACAGTATTGTGTTGGGAGAGGCTGGATGCACAGACACTTGGGGCATTCCTCTTAGTCTGTCTCTTTCTCAATATGTACATAACCCTTGTTCAGCTTTTTAGCAAGGCCAGACAACTGCTGAACTCCATGAAGTTAATTCCCCTTCACCTCAAGCACACTGCTGAGTACAGCACGTTTAGGGAGAAGTCCTCCCTGGGGCAGCCTTTGCTTCCCCTGCAAATGGTCCCTGTACTCTGGCCCAGAAACCTTGGATCCTCCGTCCTTGTACTGCACCTGGTTTACTCCAAGCAAACTGGTTGTCTGGAATCCAACCACTTTTGCTGAGCATCCTGCCTGCCGCACCCCTCTGGCAGGCCCTACGAGCATCTCTATAGAAAGCGTATCCTCTTCTCAACGCGTTTCATTGCCAGCTTCACCGTAGCAACGATGTGCACTAACCACTAGGCATTTCAGCCCCACGCCAGGAATCAGTCCTCCCCCAGCATTGAAGCCCAGAAGCGAAGAACCCTATAATGCACCAGCCAGTTGTACAAAGGTGAATCCGAAGGGGGAAGAAATAGCTGAATTTCTTCTTGACCCCTGCAGGTGCACCCTGAAGCCTGGGGGGTTTATTGTTTTTTAAAGCTATAATAGAATGTTGAAACCATCCAGTTTCCATATCAACCCTGTGCCAGCATCTGCGGCAGGGGAATCTCTGGAGCTGGGCACAGGCTGACCGAAAATGAGCATGTGATGGGGCGGGGAGAGAAAGATACAAGTGGAGGACATGAAAAAGCAGAGAGCAGTATTCTCCCTTTAATCACATAAGCCCACAACTCGGAGCTTTAAGAACAAATATGGTGAGACTTGCAATCAAATGGCGAGAATTGCCCGACTCTCGTTCCACCTTCAGAAGCCCTCAGACTGCTCAGCTGCTGGGGTGACTCTGGCTGCAGTGTGCCAAGCCGCCCAGCTCTCTGCTACCTCCCCGATCCAAGCAAAGTTTACCAGCCTCAGACAGGGAGCCTGAATTCCCATAGTCAGGCCCTGGGCTGGCAGCCAAATCCAACCCACGCACTGAGAGAACGTGGACTCAGGATGAGTTAACATTTTGCAGAATCTCAGCTTTCATTTTCAAAGGGGGTTGCTAGCCCTTACGCTGGCAAATAAAAATCTGAACACACCTGAGTGTAGGCCAAAGGCTCAGAAACTGGGCGGGGGAGTGGGGGAACGAGGGGGAAGCCACCCAGCTTTGGTTTTCGCTCATGGTCTTGGAACACAAGAACATCCAGACCGGGTCAGACCAAAGGCCCATCCAGCCCAGTGTCCCATCTTCTGACAGTGGCCAACACCAGGTGCCCCAGAGGGAGTGAACAGAACAAAGAATCCTCACCTGATCCCTCTCCTGTCTTCCATTCCCAGCCCCTGACAAACAGGCTAAGGACACCATTCCTACCCACCCCAGCTAATAGCCATTGATGGACCTAACATCCATGAATTTATCTAACTCTTTTTTGAGCCCTATTAAAGTCCTGGTCTTCACAACATCCTCTGGCAAGGAGTTCCACGGGTTGACTGTGCACTCAGTTAAATGCTTCCTTTTATTTGTTTTAAACCTGCTACCTAATTAATTTCATTTGGTGACCCCTAGTTCTTGTGTTATGGGAATAAATAAAGAGCATTTACTTATTTACTTTCACCACACCAGTCCTGATATTATAGACCTCCATAACATTCCCCCTTAGTCATCTCTTTTCTTATTAATCTCTCCTCAGATGGCAGCCATTCCATACCCCTCATCATTTTTGTTGCCCTTTCCTGAACTTTTTCCAGTGCCGAGCTTTCTGTTTTTGAGATAAGGTGACCACATCTGCTCGCAGTATTCAAGATGTGGGTGTGCCACAGATTTACACAGAGGCAATCAGATCTTCTGTGTCTCATTATCTATCCCTTTCTTAATGATTCCTAACATTTGCTTTGCTGTCTTGACTGCTGCTGCACACAGAGTGGATGTTTTCAGAGAATCCATAATGACTCCAAGCTCTCTCTCCCCAGTGGTAATAGCTAATTCAGTCCCCGTCATTTAATAGGTATAATTGGGATTATGTCTTCCCAATGTGCATTGCTTTGCATTTATCAACATTAAAATTCACCTGACATTTTGTTGCCCTATCATCTAGTTTTGTGAGACCCTTTTGAAGCGCCTGCCAGTCTGCTTTGGTCTGAGCTCTCGAGTGGTTTTGTACCATCAGTTTGGGCTGTCTGGGGAGGTGACCCTGGGATGGTCATCTCCTCCTATGGAAAGAGTCTGGTGCAAGAGACTGGCACCCCCAGAGCCAGGTGCTTGAGGCCTGTTCCCAGCATGGCCAGTACAGCCTGACAGAGCAAGGAGCAGCCCATGGGCGACCCGCCGTCTCCACATGCCGCTGCAGCTAACCCTGCCCGGGCCTCGAACTGCAGCCACAGCAAATGGCTGGTTCACAGTTCTGCTCTGCAAACGGCAGCCTGGACCCCTTCCCCAGGGCCCTCAAGGCCTAGTGGCAGGAGTCCTGGGATCTGGAGCAGCTACCAGCTCTTTCTGCCAAATCCTCCCCCCTCCCCGGTCTCCCATGCAGTTCCCATGTTCCAAATCAGGGTTGGCTGGACCCACACTGACCTCACCTCCTCTTCCTCCTCCCCCCGTCCCTGGGAAGCTTCCACCCCCCACAGGCCTGCCCCATGGGCCCCACTCTCCTGCTACC